TGTCTTTCCAGAGATGCAATAACAATATCCAGGAACAGGGGCCGCATGTTCCCATTTATTGTGTGGCTCATTCACAACCTACCTGTCTCCCGACACCTGAGTTCCCACTGTGCAGAGACAGAAAATGCACTTCAAACATTTAAGAAGCTGGATCTAAATGAGACGCCACATTTTTTGAGTTCCCACTATGTGTGAGGCATCAGACTGAAAGATCTCGGAAGAGCAGACATCCAGATCCATACAGTAATTAGCAGTCAGGCAGGAAAACATGAACAGAAGGATGGTGGGCTCAGCCGGCCAATTAATATCCTAAAGAGGTGGCCCAGGAGCCTTGCTGTGAAGGCGAAGAAAAGTCCACGCGAGAGGGAACAGCTGCCCGGGGCAAATGGATCACCACATGTCAACACGACCGCTGGAAAAAACAGGCAGGCACATGAGCAAAGCCCAGCTCGCGGAGAAATCCTAACCATTTTGATGAAAAGACAAAGCGATGGTTCTGTACAAAAATGAGGCCAGGAAGTCAGCCAAGTTAGAGGATCAGGTCAAACAGGAGCACCGCATCAGAGGACACACGACACGAGAACAATATCTCTGTGTGTGCACCCTGAGCTGTTTCCTCCACTTTGTCTAGTCTCCAGAAGAAACTGGAGAGAAGGATGAAGCCAATACCTGTGACACAGCATTCAGGCCTTACCACCTTTAATATCCCACTGTCTCCCCCACTCTCTGTCCAGACGCCTAAGTCTTCAGCTGCAGACACGTACTCTTTCCTAGGTGGAATGCACTTCGATGTCTCCTAGTCTATTGTACTCCTTTCCAGTTTGCTTCTGAATGCTTATTGCAACCCCTTATGATGGTCAGCTTTACGGGTCCACTTAACGGGGCCCCAAGGTACTCAGACAATGTGGTTAATGTTAGTATGTCTGTGTGTGTGTGTGTGTGTTGGAAGATACCAGCATTGAATTGGTGGGATGGGTAAAGCAGGTGGCCTTCCCAGCACGAGTAGGCTGCATCTAAGCCAGTATAAACTGAATGGAACAAAAACGTGGAAGAAGGTTAAATTTGCTCTGTCTTACTGCCTGAGCTGGGACACTGTCTTCTGCTGCTCCCAACAATCTCGGTTCTCAAAGCCTTCGTACCTGGAATCCACACCATCCACCAGGTCTCTGGCTGTCAGGTGTTTGAACTACACAGTTGGCTTTTCAGGGTCTCAGGCTTGCAGATGGTAGATTATGGGATTTCTCTGCCTCCACAATCACATGAGCCAATACATTATAATCCAGTGTATCTCTTGATATATCCTACTTTCTCTGGTTTGTTTTGGGGTGTGTGTGCGTGTGCATTTTGTTTTGTTTTGGAGAATACTAACATACCACTGAATTTACTTCATAGCCAACACAGGCATGTATATCTATTAGTACAATTCCTGGGTTACGGGGGTCTGCACTTCCCCCAGCTTACAGAGCATGCAGTTATCCTCTGAAGAAATTTCTACCCTTCTGCCTTGATAAGTAAGGTATGAAAGGGCTCCTTGCTCTGCATACTTGCCAGTCTTCACTTCATCAGACTTTCTAATTTCCAACCCATGGGTATGAAATGGTGTCTCATTATCCAGTTCCCTGATTAGAAGTAAAGCAGAGTTCATTTCTCAATTAGTCATTTTGGTCTCTTCTTAATGCCCATTTTTCAACTTTGTTGTTTTTGTCTTACTGATTTGAAGGAGTTCTTCACACAAAGAGAATACTAATGGCTTTTAGCAAATCCACTGTGTTTATTTCCCGTCCCTAATTCTTTAAAGACACTGTTGATACAGATGTTTAATTCATTAGTCTCTCGTGGTATATGCGTTTATTTATGACCCTTTCCTGCCTTGAAATCATATAGAAGACACCTTCTGTGTGTGTTAACATTTCTCTCTTTCCATTCAGATCTTTAACTGTGGCATAAGCTTGTGTGGATGACACGAGATGAGAATGCTGCTTTATCATTTCCTGTAAGACCAATCGGTTATCCTGCATCACCTCCCACCTGGTCAGTGGCACCTGTCCACCCCTCCTGGGTCCCCTACATGTGAGATCTTGTTAGTAGGCTTCTACTATGTCCCACCTGCCTTCTCTCTCCTCCTACCCAAATGTTCATCAGCACCTGCCGTCAGAAGCATCATTGTCCTGGTCCTGTGTTATTCTTCCTCAGTGTTCTGGCTGTGTGTTTCTCTTTGCCTGGTAGCTAGGAACTCCCGTGCCTTTCTCTGAATCTGGCATTTCTGGCTGGAATTTGTACCACATATGTATGTGTCTAGGGCAAGGGACCTGCGGACATAACATCATCATTTTCATAAGTGCAACAACCTCTCACTTCATATACCTTCTGCATTTGCCACTATTTAAACATAATTTATTAATCTTTCCAACATTCCTTCAGGATCATTAAATGTATATATTTCACCTTTGGTGCATTTTACAGAACAAGGGCCTATATGATGGATAAAATAATGAAGCCTAAAATCTAAATATTCAAGAAAAATTTAGACAAGAACCGCCACACTTTTCCTGTTAGCAAATGCATATTCATAAAGCTGTTCTGTGCAGAGACATCCGACTCGCGGTGGGCATTAGCATTCTGAAGTTACAGGATGGTTCCATTTGTAGTAAGAAAATAAATAAGCCAAGCTTTTTCTTCTCTCTGCAGATCTGCTCACAGAGATTCATTCTGGCATAATTGACATTTAAAAATATCCATTTTGCTACCATTTTTCTTTCCAAGAGGGAATATGCTTTTCTGCTGGGAAGCTGCAGAGAATCGTGATGAGCACATTCACGTAAATGATGGGCCTATTACACTGTGGATGGGTGGGAGTGATCACGAAGGCTGCGCAGCGCCTGGTCTATTGAACTGATTCTGATCCTCTGTTAGTATTTCAGGAAACATAAAAACTCCAGCAGGCTTTTTCTGGGCTGAGATGAAAAAAACACCTTATACCTCAGGGGTATAAATTGAATCACCCCATGGCTCCATCAGAAGCCAATGACACCCCAAGTTCATTAAGGAAAACTTCAAGAAGCCAATTTCACAGCAGACAGCTCCTAGAGGGTAGACAGAGTGGGGTGGCTGTTTGACACCCGGCTCTCAGAAGATCGGCATTTCACAGTGACTTGTGAGATTGCTTTCCCATAAGTGACACCTCCCTTTGCAAATCGTCTTCAGTGCCAGTTATAAACAAAATCTTGTCCCTCTGCAGAATCCCCCAGAATTCCTTAACATTTTCAGCACCAGAGTGGTTGATACATCAACTGAAGTACGTTCACAACTTAGGAAATTAAATGGAACAGAAAAGGCCATGTTGCGAGGACCAATGTAAATCCACAAACCTTAAAATCTGACAACTGAGAAAACACCCAGGAGGCACTCAGCCTAACCCCTCAGAAACCATGCAGCTCTCTGAAGTTTTTGCCCTGTAGGCTTGGAGAGGGGATGCTTCCTCTTCCTCTCTCAACTGACTTATGAATGCGTCCTGTTCAAAAGCCACCACAGAACTCGTGCAGGATGCCTGTGACAAGAACACGGTCCTGGTTCAGGGCCAGGGTGTTCCTGCTTACACACAGCATGGGGATTGTGAGAGTCCAGCCAGACAAACTGGACTGTGGATTAGGAAGTAAAATAAATGAAGCTATTACACTTCACAAAAACACCAAAAGGTTTCAAATTGTTTCAATTACCAAGATCTATAGTCTTCTTCTCCACCTTGGAAGCAACATGGTGGTTCTGAGTCCGGCTGGATGCCCCAGAACCCCCTCCCTGTTCCCTTGTCAATCTTTATTTTGTAGCCTCAGAACTAAAAAGAGCTTCCCCAGTGGGGTACCCACAGTCTACCTCTCCTTTAGGGGTCCCAAAGCTACCACTTCCCTGTGTATGACACTCTAAAAAAAAGACAAGTCTATTAGTGTTCCTTCTCTTGAAATCCATAAGAATCCACGGAACCTATCAGAACCTCAGACCAGCTCTGGGCAGCAGACAGACACCACGCCTGGCTCGTTCCTACCTCTGATGACCTCCTCCTCTGCTACCCACTCTGCACACACATCCTAACCCCTACCCCAGCTTCCTCCTCCAGCCCACCCCAGACCATTCACCTCGAATCCAGAATCCCTCCCCTCCCAGACTCCCCTTGTGACACCTTGCTCCCAGCTGAGCTCAGCTCCTACGGATCTACAAGGGAAAGCACCAATCATGAGGGTGACCAGGACTACAATACAACTTTACAAAAGCGACCCAGAGCTGCCCTTCATCCTGACAAGCCGAGGAGGCCTCTTTTGGACCCAAGACAGAATTCTGCTCAGCTTCTAAGTATTTCACAACAGCTGACTTCTCGAAGCAGACTACGAGTTGACTATCCCCTTTCCACAAGGCTGGGGACCAGAAATGTCTCAGACTTGAGAGGTTTTAAACTGGGGAATGGTTACATTATACTTTTCATGTTAATGCTCAAAAAGCTTTAGATTTAGGTACATTTGGCTTTCAGATTTTCAGATTAGACTTGCTCGAAGTGTACCAGTTGCCTGTGTGTGACAGTGAAAGATTTTCAGTGATAACCTTGTTGGAATCTACTGTCAGAATAAATGAGAATCCAGGTTGGGGGGGGTCACACAAATAAATACAGTGAGACGAGGACAAGGGTTTACAGAAGCACTACTGTGAGGGAGAGGGAACAGACGTGGCGAGTGCATTGTCACCACTGTCATGGGCGGGCACAGAGGCATTTACCTGCCCAGCAATGGGCCCATGTTCACTCATTGCTGGGCTGTGACTCAAACCCTAGTTTTAATCTCATTGTGCTCAAGTGAACAAATACTGGCTTATACACATGAAGTTTCCAGGAAACAAAAAGCCACAGCCCGTGCCCGTTCTACCTACAGAGCAGTGTTCCTCTGGTACAGCAACCCCACTGCCCGCATGTCAGAGCCAAAAGCTCATTGTGTGCAAGGACACCTCGCATTTCTTACCAAAAATGAATGGTTTGGTAATGTCCCGAAAAACCTCCTGGTGATCAAATCTTTCTGGAATAAAGCAGAAGGAAACAGAAAATTACTCAGGTTTCAAAAATGATACAGGTGTTTATACAGAGCTCCTTTGAGTATAAAAATCTAAATGAATGAGAGGCTTTGAATCACCTATAAAACTGAAGAAATTATAACTCTAATGAGATGATCAGAAATTACCTTAAACAAATAATTAAAGTGCTTTTTTAGTCATTTCATCATGTAATTATTGCCTTTAAAACAACATGTTGGGCAAATAAAGCGAGAGCTTGTATACCATTCTGGAAGGAGAGAGTCCCTGCATATTAATGAAACTCCTCAAAGCCCTCATGAATATGTATTTTCCCACAACAAAGCTTGACCCCAGTGGTTTGCAGAAGCACTGTTTTGTGACACTTTCAGATGGAAGCTGATGTGTTTGTGGGGGTTGGGGGGGAATGGAGAGCGATGAAAGGAAGTCCTCTCACTTCCTCTGTCTAGGGTTTTAGCCCACTCCTAGACAAGACGGTTTCATAAAGAGATCTGGAGAGGGGTCAGTGGATCCCACATTTCACTGAGAGAGAGACAGCTTGGTAAATGGAAGCTGAAAAGGACAGCCAACAGCCTCAAGGGACCCAAGGCCAGACCCTTGGGTTGGATCAAGAATTCACAGGGCGGGCAATACCACAGAAAATGAAGGGGCAGGAAGCCTGTGGTGGAACAAAAGGAGGGGGCGGTTACTTGTCCTTGACACTGGAGCTAAATCCTCCTCTATCCAACTGGGCTGAAAACAAAGTTATAAAGGTTCTGGTCCAGAGCAAAGGCAGCCACCTCCAGGACAGCCTCTTGGTGGGAAAGCACAGAGCTGAGACCTCCACGGATAGCAGTGCTGGCTGGACAATTCACTTTCTGTCTGAGCTTGGAGACTAGCATCACAGGGGGCAGCACTGTCCACTGAGGAAGAGAAACAAGGCCTTGCTATGATCCCAGTAGACAATGGCTGTGCTTCATCACAAAGGTCTACTCTGGACCTGGCATTATTGCTTTTCTAGTAGTGTCAGATGGTGGCTCTCGGTTCCCTGGGCAGACATTCTCAGCAGTGAGTTTTAATTAGGGAACTTCCTGTACCTCAACTGGCGCAGTGGAGAGGCCTCTGACCTAGACCTAAAGGAAAGTGATGATACCTCAGAAGGCTGAGGATATTATCATTTTGGCCAAGTAACCTGTTATAAAAGCCACAGAACTGAATCTGCTTGTCCTACACGGGAGTAACTGGACATTTTCATAACTGTTCACGTTCTTTCCAAGGGTCTGGCAAGCATATTGCTTTTCAAGGCTTGTTTCTTGCAGCAACACAGATTCTGACCCTTTGAAGGGAGGCCTCTTATCACACCCAAGTGAATACCACACGCAAGGCATCTCAACCAGACACATGCTTCCCAAGCGAGCATCAACAAAGCCCTGCACAGCACTGGCCTCGGCTTCATCATGCACAAAATGTGGAAAACAATAACTACTTCAAAGGCAGCTGGAAAGCTAAAAGGCAACAAAATCCACAGTATATACCTACCACACTCTCATCAAACAGAATTCCCTTTCTTTCTCCCAAAGCTCACCATCTGAGGACCCCCAAAACTAAGTAATTTCCGGGCTACTGCAAGAACAAAATGTAGCCCTGGGGGGCAAGACTCCTCCCTGGATTTGAGAGGATGGGGACCCAGTTCTACACGCCATTACAAGGGCTTGAACAAGGTTTGGCCCTCCAAAACTGGTGGAGTTCACTCTCTCCACTCAGAGAGGTATTATCAGCAGAAACGATGTGGTACTCAGATGTGGGGCCTGTATGAGACAGGCCATCAGTGGTACCTTCGAAACTGGGGGTCTGTACTGATGGTTTTGTAAGAAGGGGGAGAAAAACCAGGGCACACATTAAGTGCCCTCCTTGTCTTGCCACATGATGCCCTGCACCAACAGGGCTCTGCCAGCAGGAAAGCCACCACCAGATGCAGGGCTTGACCTTGGGCCTCCAGAATCACAAGCTGAAATAAATTTCTTTTCTTCATGAGTATCCAGCTTTGGGTATTTCATCATAACAATTAGAAATGAACTAATACAGCAAGAAAGATAGGCCTGACACCAGGCACTGCCCAGGCCAGCTTGGGCAGTTGTGGCCAAGAAGGGTACAGGGAGAAGACCAGAAGCTTCAGTCCACCATCACAGGCTGGAATTTTCCCCATAAGCCCACAGGGCCCCTCAGCATGGCTCAGTCCAATGTGTCTGCCCTGGATCCAGGTTCTCCACTGTCAGGCCCAGAGGCACGTTGGAGAAGCCCAGAACCCGTTTGAGGATGCACTTCCCTGTCTTGGGAGGTCTGCTCATCGCCTCCTTCCCTGGAGGGAGCTCCTGCTGCTCTCCCTCCCGCTCTTCTGAGGCTCTAGTCCCTGGAAAGGCCACAGTCTCATTCATCTGTATCGGAGCATCCCCTGCAGGCTCCACATGGATCCCCAACAAAGGTGCAGAATCAAAAAAACCACTTGCAAACAACGGCAGCAAACTGCACCTTATATAAACACTTTCCCATAGGAGGAACAGGCCCACATCTGAACTCAATTTAGAATCCGTTTTCAAGCGTCTATTTATAGGCACCACACAGCCGTTCCTGCTGGATGGCGGGGAAGTCAGGGCTCTGGGCTCCCGTCCATCGCAATTCATTTGCATTCTTTTCATGTTCTTCTTCTCTAATTTCCCAGCAGCATTTTAACTCAAATGCAAGGTCACCTATCACTTGGACCCAGCACCACTTAGCAGTTTCTCCAGAGCAAAATACTAATTTTCTTCCCCATGCAGCAGCGCCCTATCCCCGCCCTCTCCAGGACCCTGCGCTGTGCTGGCTAACGTGGAGTTCTGTTATTTGGATGACCCGTGTCTCTGGACCGAAGGTCACTTTAAAGACATGCTCCACGAGGTCGTGAGACGTGGGCAGGTTCGGCAGGGGTCGGTCATCATCTCTCCATCTGGCTGAGTCATCACCTCAGCCGGGCACATTTCAGCTCCATCCTGGTGGCTGAAAGGTCACAAAAAACGCTCTGTGGCTCACTTAGATTACTTGGGCTTTTCCTAGGACTGTGGGCGGTCAGTCATTCCTACAACTTCTGCATATTTCTCTGGTCCTTTTTGTGACCTAGCTTTCTCCCAGAGAGACAGGGAGGGCCAGGCCATTTCCCAGTATCTCTTGGCTATCGTGATTAGACAGGCGAGAGCCTGCTCTTTTTCCTGAAATTCACAATTATTTTTTAAACAGCCCCGTAGTCTTTTGCAATCTTCAGGCTGGAAATTGAATCCTTGGATCTCTACATGAGATTAAAACCCTCTGCTCTCCAAGCCATTTGTCTATCCCGAAGTTTTGCTTTGGGCTGGGGGGCGGAGAGGAGTTTGAGCCTGGAGCCGGGCTTCCCGGAAGGACACGCAAATCTCAGCCACCAGCTTCTTCTTTGTCGTGCTCAGGACTGTGTCCTCCAGCGTGCAGGGGCTCTGTCTCCATCCCTGGGTCCACAGCAAAGTGCAGACACAAAGAAAGAGCACTTACAATCAATCAGTCAACCCCGCAGCTGCCTGCCTTCAAGTACTGTGCGAGGTCTGGTTCTCAAAGGAAGACTTGCTGAGGCTGCTGGCTTCCAGTTTCAAGACTGATTAATTTTCTCACAAGATACCACTTCAGCTACCACTGTTGGTTCTATATTATTTGACATGCGAATTTCTGGCAATAAATTGGATCTGTGACCAAACACCACTTGGAAATACCATGTTTTTGAGCACTCTGGAAGTAAACAAAAATGACCAATACTCTTCAGGGTGGATGGCTACAGACTGGCCGATCACCTTTGACTCTCATGTGGGGGAGTGGGGTTCAGACCCAAACCTATCTTCAAGACCCACAAAAGCCCAAGTATTTGGGGAGGCTGCTGGAGCAGCGAAGCTAGTTAGACTGAAAGAGCCTTGTGGGATCAGCCCCCAGCAGGTCAGCACACATAAATATCCACTGAAGCAAGGGTCACTGGCCCAAGAGCACAAGCAGGTATGGGGGTGGAGGCAGTGGGTATCAGAACACATCTTTTTACCTTTCCTTTGAAAAGTTAAGACAGTGTCAACTTCACAAACTCTAGATATGGAAAGAACCCAGAGGAAGCCACTATGCATGGGTGTGGGTGATGCCTAACACTGTCACTGAAGTCTGGATGGAGTCGAGAAGCCTGATCTTACCCAGGACCAGTGGACTCACCCCCAGAGTGGCAGGGGGGTCAGCTGGGTTGCCTCTAATCTTAATTCCTCTTCCCACTCACCCCAGAGCTGTGGTTTAACTCCTTTGAGTTTAATAGGTAACCCCGCTCTTTTTAAGGGGCTGGTCTCTGGGCCCAGCATACAGAACAAGCAAAATTTGATGTGATATAACAACACCCGAAACTTACTTCCTAGCAGGATGTTCTGACCACACTGAGAAGGCTCCTGGGATGGCTGCGAAAGGGGTCTGCGCAGAACAGCTTGGCTTGAACGATGCATGAGAAGCACTCGCTGAACGCTGCAGCCGGCTCAGCCCTGGCTCTTCCGGGTACCCGTCCAAGCTCTGGATGCTCACGGACTTAGGCACCAAGGCCTGGGGAGAAGCCTGGAGGGGAGGGCCCACATTTGCTGGCTTTCATGGGGCAGTCCGCACTGGGCACCTCCCAGAGGGGAGCAGGCAGCTGGCAGAGGTCAGCAGGGGTCAGGGAAGCTTTGGTGCAAGATCTCCTGGGACCTAGTATTGCAGGCCATCCAAGAGAGTTGCAGAAACAGGGCCCAGTGTCCCGGATTTCGAGGTGGGGGATGGATGCTCCCCCAGGCTAGAATATATACTTTTTACTGGAGGGTTGGGGAGAAAGAGTTTCCAGTCACTCCCTGATGGAACATGCAGGGACAGAACATAAGTGGGCCGGGCAGAGTCCTTCCTGAGCAGCAAAGTAAAAAGACCCCAAGGTCTCACTGCAGGAACTAGCCACAGTCCA